GTTCAGTCACTCACGTGTGGTACAGCTGGGCAGGTCTAGCTGAAGAGGAGCCACTGGGACGGGTTGTTTGTGGCCCTCACTGCAGCCACCAGGACAGTCAGTAGTCAGTGCTGGGCAGATTCCAATAGGCTGTGCCTGCACAGCTTGTTGGTGTGATGTCAAGTGCACGGTGCAGGTAGGCAGGATGCAGCAGGGAGATGGTTATGTGTGAAGCTAAGCTGGATATGGGAGAGAGGAGACAGGAGCAGGAGCAAAAAAAGATACAAACATAAAAGAATCTAGGGGAGCTTTCCGTTGGAATGGACAGATGAGAGACTATGGAATGGAGAAAAACAGAAGGGGGAAGAGAAAGAAAAGAAAAGAATTAACAAATAAAAATCAGAAAAGTTAAAGAACTGCAAAGTTCCCTGGGATCCAACCGATGCAGCTATGAGGTCTGGGTAAGTCGGTCCCAGGTTTCATAGCACAGCCTGGTCAGAAGGTGCAGAGGCATACAACGCCTGGTATTCAGGGATCAGAAAGAGAAGGAAGAGATAGAGAGACGAGAAATTGAGCAATGAAGTAAGACAAAAGGGAAAAAGAGGGAAAAGAAAACAAAACTAATCAAAAAAAAAAAAAGCAACACCAGCAGTCAATGAATGGCACTCAGAGAGCCATCCAGTGCGGGTTGGTGTTTCTGGACAAGCGACTGTGTCCGTGGGAAACAGAGGAGGCCAAGTGTGAGTGAGGAAGGGTGGAGAGTGGGAAAGCGTATGTCACAAATTGCCTGCGCTCTGGGGACCGTCAGGAAGGAGTAAATAGGGTGCACGGAGCCAGGCACCTGAGTGAAAGGAAGGGGAGGTAGTGAGAGGCAAGGGAGAAACCAAGAGAAGCAGGAAAAAGGAAAAAAAAAAAAAAAAGCAGCACCAGCAGCCAACAAACGACACCCAGAGAGCCGCCCGCCCGTGCGCGCAGAATCCAAGCAGCCAGCGGCCCCCGGTGAAGAGACTGCGGCCACGGGAAGTAGAGGAGCAAATGAACAAAGGCCCCGGGATCTCACCAGCGCAGCAGCCCAGACCTGGGAGCAGCCGCACGCCCAAACGTATCCCCACAGCCTCACAGGAAAGGGCAAAGACAGCTCTCGGAACCAGGCACCTGAGCAAAAGGAGGGGGAGGCAGCAAGAGGCAAGCGAGAAACCAAAAGAAGCAGAAAAAGCAACACCAGCAGCCAACAAACGGCACCCAGAGAGCCGCCCGCATGGGCGCACGGAATCCAAGCAGCCGGCGGCCCTGGGTGAAGAGACTGCGGCCCCAGGAAGCAGAGGAGCAAACGAACAAAGGCCCTGGGATTTCACCAGCGCTGCAGCCCAGACCTGGAAGCAGCCGCACGCCCAAATGTAGCCCCACAGCCCCGCAGAAAAGGGCAAAGACGGTGCTCGGAGTCAGGCACCCAAGCAAAAGGTGGGGGGAGGCAGCGAGTGGCAAGCGAGAATCCAAAAGAGGCAGAAAAAGAAAAAAGGGGGGAAAAAAAAAAAGCAACACCTGCAGCCTACAAACGGCTCCCAAAGAGCCGCCCGCCGGGGGGCGCGGAATCCAAGCAGCCGGCAGCCCTGGGTCAAGAGCCTGTGGCCCCGGGAAGCAGAGGGGCAAACGAACAAAGGCCCCGGGTTCTAACCCGCACGGCAGCCCACACCTGGAAGTAGCCGCACACCTGAACGTAGCCCCACAGCCCCGCAGGAAAGGGCAAAGACAGCGCTCGGAGCCAGGCACCCGAGCAAAAGGAGGGGGAGGCAGCGAGAAACCAAAAGAAGCAGAAAAAGCAACACCAGCATCCAACAAACCACCCCCAGAGAGCCACCCGCCCGGGCACGCGGAATCCAAGCAACCGGCGCCCCCCAGCCCGGAGACCTTGGACACGGGAAGCAGGGGAGCCCCAGCCGGGGCGAAGAGGGGTAGGGGGTGGGAAAGCACACACTGCAAATTACCGGCTGTTTTGTCTCCCTCTGGATGCTCCGTGAGGCTGCTCTCTCATACCCCCGTTTGCTGGTCTCCGATAGGAGTCCAAGATGGTGGATCCGCGCTGCGTTAGCTGGTAGGGGACCTCTGCACGAATCTCTCCTCGCTCTCTGTTCTCTTTCAGTATTCTTACTCCGTTTGGTGTTCGGCTGAGTTCTTTATCTCTTCATTTGATGTTCTAGGGTTTCAGGATTGTTGATTCTCTGTTTGGCTTAGTTTTTCAGATCTTTGTTGTGGAGGGACGGCGTGGTGCTTCTGCCTAGAGCGCCATCTTGCCGGAGTCCGACAATAACTTTTTAAAAGCTCTACAAGGAAATTGTTTTACAGAAGAACAGAATCAATGTACCACTGGCATAAGCTTATAAATCACATTTCAAAATCTTCTCTTTGCATATAATGAGGCCTTAATAAACATGATTAACTGACTGATGTTAATGTGTACACTCAAGCTCTAAACATTCAGTAATTAATTCAGAAAAATATTGAGTAAAAGAAATCTTTAAAAAAAAAATGTGGTTCTTCCTTAAGCATTACTTAGCTCAACTCCTTTCCAAAAAGACTACAGTGAAAACTTCCAGAGCCAGACCCAGTATAGAGCAGAAACCTGTCAGAGAAGGAAAACTCAAATATTTCCCCCTAAATAGAGAGCGATAGAAAAGTGGTGACTGCACTTTGTGAAAGGCAGAAAATTTGTGAGACCAGGAAAAACAAGGCAGTCCCATGAATTCCAGCTGTCACAGGTTTCATTGTTTTTGAGTTTTCCTTCTCTGATAGGTTTCTGCTTTATCCAGGTTCTGGCTTTTGCAGATGTTACTGTATATTAATTTCCCTGGACTTCAATTTTTATTCTTCAGATTTCTGAGCTATCAAAATACTTTGAGTGATGATCTACCCAACCACATAATTTCTGGAAGAGTTTTGATAAAACCAAATGTGAGAGAGTTTACTGAGACGTCAGCCATTTTTGAAGATGGCACGGAAGAGGACGTTGATGTTGTCGTCTTTGCCACAGGATATAATTTCTCTTTCCCTTTTTTGGAAAACAATTCAACAGTTCTGGACAGCCAGCTCTCCATGTTTAAATATGTCTTCCCTCCTCAGCTGGAGAAGCCAACCCTAGCTTTCATCGGCATCCTCCAGCCAGCAGGAGCCATCATTCCCATATCAGAACTCCAGAGCCGATGGGCTGTGCGCGTATTCAAGGGTATGTGCTGAATGGGTGATGAGATTTCAGAGACATTGCAAAGGACTTCTGCTACAAACCATCTCTGCAGTTAACCTTTACAATATCTGAGATTCTGCCTTTTGAGATGCATTTGGTGTTTGATAGCTATCGAATCTTTAAGATTCCTGTAGGAAAATTAAAATAGGAAGCTACTACCTTAAGCTGTCATCAGATGACATCTTACTGGCAAAGAGTTCACTAGATCACTGTGGAGACATATATAGTGCAGAAAGTGGGGGCAGTAGGGGAAAGGAGATATCAACCTAAATTATAGGTGAGAAATAACAGTTATTCTACTTCCCAATGTTGCCAAGTTCATTCTGGAATGAGCCAAAATCAAAGGGAGTAATTTCTGCCTGTTTCTCAAGTCTTTTATTCAAAATATAAAGAGGACAAACAGGTGAATTATGGCAGAGTCAGAGTAACGGGAATAGCACCCCAGCACACTCGTAAGAGCAAGGACTTTATAATCAAGTAAATCCAACGTTAAAACCTAGCTCCACCATGTATTGACTGCATGGTCTTGCCTGTTACTAGACCACCACAAGCCTCAATTTCCTCCTTCATAAATAAGAGGATACTTATATATATTTTGCAGGGCAATAAGAATTAACAATTAAGCATTTTGACTTTTGAAGTCATTCAGTAAATACTGATTGAATGAATGAAGATTAGCCATTGTTGTTGAAATTCTTTATTGTCATCATTAATTCTAAGGAGGCGAATAAATTGGTGAAGGCAGATTCAAAACCTACCTTTACAAAATTATGCTTATCACATTTTAATAATTCTGTCCATTTATTTCTTTCTCCTTTAAAAAGCTTCCCATATTTCCTTGGAACAGTCAGTGTTTCTCAAAATGTGGGATGTCACTCATCATATGAATGAAGGAAAGTTGGGAGATGTCTTCCATGAGTTAAGACATAAATTTAGTAACAAATCTCTGTTCAATGAAGTCAATAAGTAGACACTGAGTGTCATTAGTACTTGCATTTTATATATTTTAAAACTAATCTATAATGTAAATGCACAAGGGTAACTCATTATTTAAAGAAGAGCCAGAGTGAATATTCTGGTAATGGGACTATTAAAATAATGGGTAATAGGACCATCAAGTCAACTCCAACTCACAGCAATCTCATATGAGTCACAGTAAACTGTCCTACATGGAGTTTTCACTGGCTGATTTTTTCAGAAGTAGATCACCAGACCTTTCTTCCGGGGCTCCTATGAGTGTATGCCAACCTCCAGTCTTTCAATTAGCAGCCAAATGTGTTAACCATTTGTACCACCCGGGGACTACCAAATGGAACTATAAACACCTTAATATATGTATTGTCATGGGTGTGACTCCCTTTAGTCCGTCTAGGGTTTGGGGTCTGCTAGTCAAGACTGAGGAGCCCTGGTGGCAAAGTGGTTAAGCGCTCAGGCTGCTAACCAAAACATGGACAGTTCAAATCCACTAGCCACTCCTTGGAAACTCTATGGGGCAGTTCTACTCTGTCCTATAGGGTCGCAATGAGTCAGAATAGACTCGATGGCACACAAAAAGTCAAGACTGTGGAGTCCCCAGACATGTGATAAGGACATGTTTTTACATCTGTCAGGCTCATGCACCTGATAAAGCAATGAAGGGAGGGCATTCCAGAGGAACTCCTGGGTCCATCTGCCCTGCTCCTGCGTTACCTTCCTCATGATGTTCTCTACCAAACTGAGTCTCAGGATATTCGTTTCTTTCTGAAACCACATCTTCTCAATAAGAAAACCATATTCAGAGAGACTTTTGGCAACATGGCCCTGTAAGCAGAAGCACCATGCTGTCCCTCCACAGCAAAGATCTGAAAAACTAAGTCAGACAGAGAAAACAGCGATCCTGAAACCCTAAACATCAAATGAAGAGATAAAGAACTCAGCCAAGCATCAAATAGAATAAGAAACTGACAGAGAACAGAGAGCAAAGAGACTTACATGCAGAGGTGGCCTACCAGCTAACGCAGCACAGATCCGCCATCTTGGACTCCTATCAGAGACCAGCGAGTAGGGGGTACAAGAAAGCAGCTTCGCAGAGCTTCCAGCAGGAGACAGAACAACTGGTAATTGGCGATATACACTCTCCCACCCACCACCCACCCTTCTTCACCCCCACTCGGCCTCCTCTGCTTCCCGCAGCCACAGTCTCTTGGCCGGGAAGCACTGGCTGCTTGGATTCCACCTGCTCGTACTGGCCAACTCCCTGAGTGCTATTTGTTGGTTGCTGGTGTTGCTTTTTTCCACTTCTTTTGATTTCTTCCTTACCTCTCACCACTTCCCACTCCTATCGCTCAAATACCTGGCTCTGTGCATGATCTTTGCTTCTTACTGAGGGGCTGTGGGGCTCCTCTCAAGCTTGGAACTGCTTCCTGGTCTGGGCTGCCACGCTGGTGGGATCCCAGAGTTTTTTTTTTGTTTTGTTGTGAATAGTTTGTTTTCTTTTTTCTTTTCTTGAGTTGGGAGCATGTTCTGGCTGGGCAGTGCTGCGCAGCTTGGGACCTACCCATTCAGCTTGTGCAGACACGCAGAGGGATCCCTGAGCGCATTTCTTTTTTTGTGTTTTTTTTCTTCTGGGAAAACAATTTTTGGACAGTACAAGTCAGACAAAGGTCTAAATCTCCATAATCTACAAGAAAATCCAACACCTCTACAACAAAAAGACAAATAATCCTATTAAAAAATGGGCAAAGTAAATGAATAAACACTTCACCAGAGAAGACATTCAAGCAGCCAACAGGCACATGAGGAAATGCTCGCGATCACTAGCCATTAGAGAAATGCAAATTAAAACCACAATGAGCTACCATCTCACCCCAGCATTACTGGCATGAATCAAAAACACTGGAAATAACAAATGTTGGAGAGGCTGCGGGGAGATTGGAACTCTTAGGCACTGCTGGTGAGAATGATATGGTGCTTCCTCAGAAAGCTAGAAATAGAAATACCATACAATCCAGCAATCCCACTCCTAGGAATATATCCTAGAGAAATAAGAGCAGTTACTCGAATAGACATATGCACATGTATGTTCATGGCAGCATTGTTCACAATAGCAAAAAGATGGAAACAACCTAGATGCCCATCAACAGAAGAATGGATAAACAAACTATGGTACATGCACACAATGGAGTATTAGGCAATGATAAAGAACAATGATGAATCTGTGAAGCATCTCATAACATGGATGAAACTGGAGGACATCATGCTGAGTGAAATAAGTCAATCACAAAAGGACAAATATTGTATGAGACCTCTATTATAAAAACTCATGAAAAAGTTTACACACAAAAAGTAACAATCTTTGTTGGTTATGAGGGATGGGAGGGGTGGGGTGGAAATACTAAATAGGCAATAGATAAGTGGTATCTTTGGTGAAGGGTGAGACAGTACACAATACTGGGGAAACCAGCACAACTTGTACAAGGAAAGGTCATGGAAGCTCCATAGACACATCCCAACTCCCTGAGGGACTGAATTGCTGGGTGGAGGGCTGTAGGGACCATGGTCTTGGGGAACATCTAGCTCAATTGGCATAACACAGTTTATAAAGACAATGTTCTACATTCTACCTTTGTGAGTAGCCATCAAAGATACTCCACTGGTCCCACCCCTTTGGAAGCAAGGGAGAATGAAGAGAACAGGATACAAGGAAAAAATTAGTCCAAAGGACTAATGGACCACAGCTACCAAGGCCTTCACCAAACTGAGTCCAGTACAGCTAGATGGTGCCCGGCTACCACCACTGACCGCTCTGACCGGGATCACAACAGAGGGTTCTGGTCAGAGCTGGAGAAGGATATAGAACAAAACTCTAACACACAAAAAAAAGACAAGGTTTACTGGCCTGAAAGAGACTGGAGAAACCCCAAGAGTATGGCCCCCAGACACCCTTTTAGCTCAGTGGTGAAGTCACTTCCGAGGTTCACCATTCAGCTGGGGATTGGACAGCCCCATAAAACAAAATGGGACTAATGAGGCACAGCAGTCCAGGGACAAGGACTAGAAGGCAGAAGGGGATATGAAAGCTGGTGATAGGGAACCCAAGGTTGAGTAAGACAGTGTTGACATGTAGTGGGGTTGTTAACCATTGTCATAGGGCAACATGTGTACTAACTGTTTAACGAGAAACTATTTTGTTCTGTAAAACTTCATCTAAAGTGAGAATAGCAGCACAACTGGAAGAAAGTAATCAACGTAACTGAACTGTGCATGTAGAAATTTTTGAAATGGTGTATCTTTGGCTATGTATATTTCCCCCTCCAAAAAAAAAAAAAAAAGAGGTTGAGAAGGGAGAGGGTCGACATGTCGTGGTGTTGTTAACCAATGTCATTAAAACAATATGCGTACTGACTGTTTAATTAGAAACTATTTGTTCTGTAAACCTTCACCTAAAGTAAAATTTAAAAAATTAATAAAAAAAAATTACCCATGGAAAAAAAGAAAACCATATTTATGTTTGTAATTTTTTTTCTAGGATTAAACAAATTACCTTCAGTGAGTGACATGGTGGCTGACATAACAAAGAAGAGAAAAAAAAATTGAAAAAGAGTAAGAAACATTTCTTGGCTTAAGTCAATTGAAAGTGTTTAGGTGGAGCTGTTTGCATATTAAGTATTTTTTATATCTTTGGGTCTATTTGCCTAGATGAACATCTCAGATTAGCAACTTCTTCATTTCCTCTCAACTAAGCATTATATCAAGTATGAAATGTTTATGGGTGGAATGGATACAGAACGGTCCACCATAGAAACGTTGGAACTATAGTTGAATGTCCATGAAAATCTAGCTACAGCACACAATTATAAATTATGTCGTGTGATAGCCTTAGAGATATGAGGCATATGAAAAGGAAAGGTGAAATGGATTGTTTCATTCTTTCAAAGAGCTGGAAAGATAAATGAATGTAAGAAATGAGTTGGCAAATCGCTTCAGAATCTGATTAAAATTTTGACATGAGGTCAGAAGCTTGTAGATTGTGCCAAAACTTCTTAATGGAAAATTATTCTCAAACATTGGGGTTAGGAATGTAATTTATTTCTGTTCAGCAAATATCTGTCGAGAATCCACCACGTGAATGCCACAGCATGTTTCCTAAGGTCAAAGAGTTTATGTCCTAAGAACAGTCAGTTATTCAGTAACTTGGTTAAAAAAGGTGGGCCAGGAATTGCATCTCAGTAATATTTGGAATCAAATGATTTTCACACATACCAAAAGCTGGGAAGTGGAATATAGTCTCATATTGACCTGTGAAATTCACAGATCATAGTTCCCATCACTGACTTTCCAAAATGAGATTATATTCTAAAGAGAACCAAATATATGGCAAAAATAGAAAGGTCTTAGTTATAGAATTTAGGAAAAGAAGGATATCATTAATAAGACAAAGGTCTTCTTAAACCCTCCTATTACTATCCAAAACTCTTGGCAGGATTTGAGCGGGGAAATACACATGCATGAGTATTTCACTGGGAACCACTGAGACCAGGGTAACTAAAAACTGAAAAGTAATTTTCTTACTCTTTGGAGAAATCAATGGCTTATATTTGTTAGGTGCTGTCCAGCCGATTTTGACTCCTAGAGACCCCATGTGACAGAGTAGAACTGCCTCATAGTGTTTTCTCGATTGTCCCGTGGAGCCTCTGGGTGGGTTCCAACCATCAACCTTTTGGTTAGCAGCTGCGCCTTAACTGTTGCGCCACCAGAGCTCCTTCATCAATGGCTTGTTGCTGTGTTGTTAGTTGCGGTTGAGTCGATTCCGATTCATGGCGACCCCATGTGTGCAGAGTAGAACTGCTCCATAGAGTTTTCAAGGTTGTGGTCTTTCAGAAGCAGATTGCCAGGCCCGTCTTCTGAGGTGCTTCTGGGTGGGTTTGAACCACCAGCCTTGTGGCTAGTAATTGAGCACTTAACTATAATTATTTTTCCCACAGATCATCCCCTCCCACAAGGTCCAAATAATGTTTAGAGGCTGGGCATGAGTTTGGAGGGTTGGAGATTGTCATCTGTCTTGAGGTTTCTGATTTGTCCTCTTCGCTTTCAGCTTCCTGAATAGTCCCCGGACCTCACGCAAAGTGCAGTACATAGATTACATGGATGAACTTGCCTCTGAAATCGGAGTGAAACCCAGCCTATTCTCATTGTTCCTGTGGGACCCGAAGCTGGCCATGGAGGTTTTCTTCGGCCCATGCACCCCATACCAGTACCGCCTGCAAGGCCCAGGAAAGTGGGACGGGGCTCAGAGAGCCATTCTGACCCAGAAAGAGCAGATCATCAAGCCCCTGAGGACTCGCATCCTCAGCTGTGGCCAGCCTGTGCCATGTTTGTTTAGAAGTGTCTGTGCAGCCCTTCTCCTCCTCATCCTCACTTTAGTCATTCTAAGAGGGTAATCTTTCTATGATCGCTGTTAGGTTACAGGCCAACAATGATACACCTTAATTTAGAGGCTAGACATGTGCAACTATTTTTCCCTCAGTTCTGACTAGATTAGCCCAGGGAATTATCTAATCATTCCAAAATTTCTCATGAATGAGGATCTTTGGCAAAATCAGAGATTTCTGCAACAGAGATTTCAAATGGTGTGGTTCATATAAAAGTTTAGTTTTGAAGTTTCTCTAATTTCCCAACGTTCTCAGTTACATGAAATTCTCCTAGGCCTTCCTTTATAGTAAACACACAATTTGCCAGCTATTAGGTGTTTTTGCACCTAAAGCACAGGCTGGAAAAAAAAAAAATTCTCTTCAAATGGTCTAGAAAAATTTAACAGTAATAAAAATGTCTTTATCAGAAACTCTTTCTAATAGGACCGTATCCTATGGAATCATAGATATTGAGGTAACTGGTTATTTCAGGTATTACTGAGGGATTTCTTTAGGACATGGAGAGGAAAAGGGGGGATAACAGAAGGCAGGAATCATATATAACTTCTTGTTCTATTAAAACTATCAAAAGTACATGGAATATGTGCTATAATAAACATACAGAAGTCTATAGAAGCACTCAGAAGCAGAAATGGGGGGTATCAGGTACATGGAACATTTACAGAGACTTTAATAATTAATTAGTCAGAGCAACGAACTATTCCTTTACTCGCCAATCAAATCACTCATATCACCAGGCTATGTCTGAGCCTGGTTCTGATATTCTGCATAACAGTTTGTTTTCTTTTATCTGAACTGTATTATTCATTCTTTCATTTACTCAGAAATCTGCTGTGTCAGACACTGTGCTGAGCACCAAGAATAAACAGATGCATTGCTGTCATCTGGTCTCATGGTTTTAATGTCATTTATGCCCTGAAGACGCCCACCTCCTATCTCCAGCCCTGCCCTCTCCCTAAAGCTTAGACTCACATCGCCAAGTGCCTATTCAGCATATTCAGACTCAAACTAAACCAATCTCCCTAAGTTTACTCCTCCACCTGCTCTCCTGTAGGCATTGCCATTTCTGTAAATGACAACTCCATGTCCAACCAAAAAGTTTCAAGTCTCCTTGATTCCTCTCTTTCATACCCCACATGTAGTCTATCAACAAATCTTGCCACCTTCAAAATAGACCCAGGATCTCACCACTTCTCACTACCTCCACTGCTACACCGTAGTCCATGCCACTCCTTTTACCTGTATTATTGTAGTAGTCGCTTAGCCGGACTTCTGGCTTCACCCTAATCTCTATTCTCATTATAAGGAGCCCTGGTGGTGCAACGGTTAAGCGCTAGGCTGCTAACCGAAAGGTTGGCAGCTCAAACCCACCATCAGCTCTGCGGCAGAAAGATGTGGTGATCTGCTCCCCTAAGATTACAGCCTAGAACACCCTATGGGGCAGTTCTACTCTGTCACATGGGGTCACTATGAGTCGGAATCAACTCCACAGCACCTGACAACAACCACAACATCTAATTACAACAGCCAAAATGATATTCTAAAAACCTAAGTCAGATCATGGCACTTTTCTGCCCCAAACCACCCAGAGTTCCCGTATCACTCAGAATAAAAGCCAAATCCTAACAACGGTCCACATGTCCCTTCATGATCTGCTTTCTCACTACTTCTCTGACCTCCTCCATTACTACTCTCCTCTGTGTTCATTCCTTGAACAAGCCACGCCCACTCCCAGTTCAGAACCTTTGCCCTGCTGTTCCCTTTTCCTGGAATATACTTCCTCCTCTCCCTCCCCTCTATATCCACATAGCTCACCCCTTCACTTCCTTTAGGTTTTTGTTCAAATGCCACCTTGCCAGTAAGGCCTTTTTTGACTACTCTGTATAATTGGTGCTCTGTACCAGTAATCGTCGAGTAGATTTTGACTCAAGGTGACCCCGTGTGTCAGAGTAGAACCGTGACCCACAGGGTTTTCTATGGTTGCTTTTTTGGAAGTAGATTGTCAGGCCTTTCTTCCAAGTCGCCTCTGGGTGGATTTGAACATCCAATCCTTTGGTTAGCAGCCCAGTGCGTTAACTGGTTTACTACTCAGGGACTCCTCTGTATAAGATAAAAAAACAAAACAAAACCAAAAAAGCCAAATCCAATGTCATTGAGTCAATTCCAACTTGCAGCCTGTTCTGCCACTTTGATACATCTCTAACCAGTGTCTTCAACCAGAAACCAAACCAGTTGCCCTCGAGTGGATTCCAACTCATAGTGATTCCATGTGTGTCAGAGTAGAACTGTGCTCCGTGGGGTTTTGAAGTAGATCATCAGGTCTTTCTTCCACGGTGCCTGTGGGTGGGTTTGAACAGTCTATCTTCCGGTTAGTAGCCCAGCGCTCAACCGTTTATGATACCTAAACCAAATGTAAAAGCAAACCCATTGCCATCAAGTCCTTTCAGACTCATAGAGACCCTATAGGACAGAGTATGACTGCTCCATAAGGCTTCCAAGGAGCGGCTAGTGGATTCAAACATGCAGACCTTTTGGTTAGCAGCTGAGCTCTTAACCACTATCCACCAGGACTCCCTGTATAAGATGTTGCTATTGCTGTTGCTGAGTGCCCTGGAGTCAGTTCCAACTCATGGCAACCCTGTAGGACAGAGGAGAACTGCCCCCATAGGGTTTCCAAGGTGCAGCTGGTAGATTTGAACTGCTGACCATTTTATGGTTAGCAACTGAGCTCTTAACCACTACACTATCAAGGCTCCCATGTATAGGATTAAAAAAAAACAAAAAAAAACATTGCTGTCAAGTCGATTCTGACTCATAGCGACCCTATGGGACAGACTAGAACTGCCCCAGAAGCTTTCCAGTGAGCAGCTGATGGATTCAAACTACCGACCTTTTGGTCAGCAGCCATAGATCTTAACCACTGCACCACCAGGGCTCTGATAGCATGTGTCAGAACAGTCACTCCCTATCCTTCTTACCTTGCTTTATTTTTCTCCTTGTTATAGTACGTATTAACTATTATTTCATTTTTTGTTTTTTTGTTTTCTGTTTTTATGCCCGTTTTCTAGAATACAGGCTCAGTGTGGCAGGGACCTTCCTTGTTTCACGTCTAGAAAAGTTTCTGGCACAAAGCAGGCCTTAAAATGAATAAAATTTGAATTAGCTTATAACCTATGTAAAGAAACTTTATAGGTTAGCTAAGGAGTAGATATTATCCCTGTCCTCAAAGAACTCACCATTTAATGAGAAAAAAAAGTAGGATAAATAACAATCCACCATTTACATATCTGTTTATAACAAAAATATGAACAAAATGCTGCTGTTGGAATACAGAGCAAAGAACTCAGCGAAGGGAAGTAGAGGTGAAGAAAGTTGAGTCAGATCTTTAAAGATGTTCAGGAGTTCTTTCTGGAATAAGAGGAGGGCATCAACTCTGCAATGTGCAGGTGAGTGGAAGAGCTGGAAATGCTAGAATGTTCCAGAAGTGACTGCAGCTCAGAGTATGTGGGTGACAGAAGTGAACTCGAAGAGGTGATCTGGGCACAGAATTGGAGAACCTCTGACCTCCACACCAATCTCATCTCTTGGTTCACCAGAACCAGAACCACAGCTTCCCACACCCCACCCTCCAATTCCCTGAATCCAGCTTCTTCCCCACACCATATATCATCTCCCAGACTGCCACTGGTCATATCTTCTTCGTATTTAAAACTGAACTCACTCTGTGCTGTCTATGGAGCCAAACTCAAAGTCCTTAGCTTACATACAGATAGTCCCCAACTTACAGCACATTTGAGTTACAACAAACTGCACTCACGACTCTGTTTTTTGTATTTGGGTTTTTTTGTGTGTATATTACATTAGTAATATGTACTACATACAATGTTCCAACACGTAATTTGCTGATGTTATCATTCTCAGATGTTTACTCGCAAATGTTCAAAGATTGGATTTATAAAGATTCTGATAATAAAAGGCAATAATAACGAAAAGTGAAAAAAAAAAAAGAAGCACTGGAGTTGCATCAGAACCAGCTTACATTGGAGTCATTAGAACTGAACCCCGTTGCAAGTTGAGGACTACCTGTATAAAGTTTCTTTATATAGGTTGTAAGTGAAGTGATATTTTCCATTTATTATCTTTTTTTTTACTTTACAAATCTAGAAAGGTAACATTGGAATTCAAATTTTAAAGTGATGCATATTTCAGCTGCCCCCATATTAGGCCTCTGGCCAGACTTCTGATGAGACTCATCACTATCATACCCTTTCTTCTTCCTCATTCAGTTAGAAAAATAATCACATAAGAGCAATTCCAAGCATAGAGAAAGTTTTCCTTTTTGTTTTGTTTTTGCTTTTTTTTCTTTTTTTTTTTTTTTTGACGCTTTTGGTCTGGCCTGTCACTGACAAGTGACTCTCTAAAACAATAGTCCTCAAACTTCAGAGGTTTTGAATATGTGACAGAAGCTGCTCTTTCATTCTGGAGAAATTACGTAAATAGATACATAGAAGGTAGAAACCAGACTCTCAGGGAACCCTGGGAAAGCCAGCCGGCACCCTCTTGAGCTGAGGCAAAGAGGTCTTCTCCATCTTAACCTTCATCTGGACAACTTAGAGAGGGGTTAGTCAGTCACAGAAGCTCTGCCTGGGCTGTTCCAGCCCGTAGGCCTTTTGATGGGCACATGAGTGGCAATAGAACCCTCTACTCTATCAGCTTCTACACAGACAAAACTTGCCACAGAGCTCATGCCAGTGGAAGCTCATAATAAATAAACTGTATGATCAGGTTCCATTGAACACAAACATGCTGGAAGAGTTTAATACAAATAGAAAGCATCTTTCAAATTTGTTTCTTGCCATATGTTTATCCTGGATCTTTGATGGTGTCTATTTTAAAGAACCAGTAATTGCATATTATTTTAACTTTTGACATCAGATAATACTTCGTACAAAATCCTTCAGCCATCAGAAAGTTATAATACCCTTTCGTCCTTGAAAAATTAAACAGCT